CATGGGATTACAGGCTGAGTCACCGAGCCTGGACGGGTTTTAAGTTTTCAAGGCCAAGTAAGAGGACCCTTGGGAAAGGCTGGCAGCTGGCACGGAGGGAGCTGGGTTAGAATGGGATTTATTTAGAAGTTGGGGTCTGTCTCACCCTGTCACCCAGCCTGGAGGGTAATGGCAGGATCAGGGCTCACTACAGCCTCGACCTCCTGAACTCAGCTGATCCTTCCTCCTTGGCCTCCTGAGTAGCTGGGACTACAGGTGTGCGCCACCATGCTTAGTTAATTTTTATTTTTATTTTTGTAGAGTTGAGGTTTTGCTGTGTTGCCCACACTGGTCTTGAACTCCTGGGCTCAAGCAATCCTCCCGCCTCAGCCTTTCAGTGCTGTGATTTCAGTGAGCTACCACGCCTGGCCTAGAATGGGATTTAGAACAGGTTGGAGTTAGAACTTAAGTGACCAGACAAAGCCAGCTTTGGCTGATCCGGCAGGGCCAGCAGCATATGGAACCGAAGGTGCAGAGGTTCTGGGCTCTACTCTGTCCCCGGGGGGCGACTCATGGGTGGCTTTGCATGCCTGGTCTGATGCTTCACTCAGTAAGTGTCCAATTCTGACTAGTGAATGAATTGAAGGGCGTGGCCCTGTTGTGGGTTGATCTCTCTCTGAGGCCACTCAAGCCCCAGCGGGACAGGTCATTCTTTATTTTTGAGTCAGAGTCTCACTCCATCACCCAGGCTGGAGTGCAGAGGCACGTTCAAGGCCACTGCAGCCTCTACCTGCTGGGCTCAGGCGATCCTTCCTCTTCAGCCTTCCATGTAGCTGGAACCACAAGCATTCCACCACACCCGGCTAATTTTTTGATTTATTGTAGAGACGAGGTCTTGCCACGTTGCCCAGGCTGGTCTCGAACCCCTGGACTTAGCCGGTCCTCTCGCCTCTGCCTTGCAAAGTGCTGGGATGACAGGTGTGAGCCACTGCACCCAGCGCAACAGGTCATTCTTTACCTGGGCTCTCCTAGAGCCCCGTGATTTGAGAAGACCATGTTGGATTCTCTGTCCTGCCCCCGAACTCGGCTGAGCTCAATGTGATGTGATTACTCCAGCTGTCAAATTCAAGACCACCTACACACACGTGTGTGTAATCACCCCTAGAGAGGGCTGAAAAG